AGAACATAGAGAAGAGTGATCAACCTTCTCAAATGGCAAACAAAATGATAATAAACATTTCATAGTGTACCATTCACCCTTGACTGAAAGAATGAACGTTAATTCTTTTTTTTTATCAAATTTATCATCCAGAACCATGAGATACCGTCCTTGACTCGGAAAATGTCCTGAAAAGACAATAAAAAATTTTACGTTAGTTTTGTGTCGAGGATTACACAATTCATGTTCAACGGGAAGTGAATAATTCCGGATACAACGTGTCACCGAAACGTCCACTGAACTCATATTCTTTTCAAAAGTGGAACGACGAACAATTAACGTCGAAACGTTTTCCTGTTAATTTCGTTTATATACCCGACCGAAAGGGAACAAAGTTCTATTAGGTGTACGTTAAATTGGTGAAACGTTGGATCCATCATGACAAATTTTGTTCTATTTACAATATACTGTGTAATCCTATTTATCCTCGACGAGGGGGTAGTAAGTTGTTTTAATAAATATTAAAGTATACTTGAATCGATTTTTTTAAAAATATCACCTTGTAGAAAATAACAAGGCAAAACTTTTATATTTACAATTTATTCGTCCGACGTTTAGTTTCAAAAATAAAAATAAAAAACTTTAGAGTTCTTTTTCGTAATCGAATTTCAAGAAAAAGGACTTGTAAGCTTTTAACTTTTATTTTTGAAACAAAATTTCTTATCAATAAACTGTAAATTTAAAAAAGTTTCGTCGTATCATTCTTTATGAGGTGATATATTTTTTAAAATTCGACTGTTCCAGTTTCTTTAGAATCAACGCTTTTTTTAATTTATTCATGAAACTATTCCTTTTCTTTAGGCTTTGAGATGTCGTTCGGCGAATCAAGAAATGGATATGCAATTTCAAAAGGTTCTACAAACTTGCAAAAAGCGCTATTCTGGTTCTGGTATGGACAACGATGATTCTATGTCTTCGGAAAGCGAAAATTCAGAAAGCGATTATAGTTCTGAAGAGAAAATGTTCTCTACGCAGATGGACAGGACCTCTTACAATCGCTCCATGAATAATAATCAAAGATACAGGTATAAGTTGAACAATACATAATTTCTAACACTATAATTAGCGATTACAATTATCCAAATATTACAAGTATTTTTTCTTTTTTTCTTATATAAAACATAATTCCATATAATATATATTGATATCAAATATCTTTCATAATTTTCAATTATTATTTTACAAACGTTAATAAATTTTAATTCATCTTTTTATGTGCGCAGACCTTCTGAAGGGAATAGCGACATCCGTTCATCTGACTCCAGAAATAGAAATTTCAGGGATTTTCAAAATATGAAAAATAATCGTAGAATTAACGATCAGAACTCAAGTCGGCGCAATAAAAATGACGAGTTTAACAATGAAGATACGCGCTATAATAATAATAGTAATAATAACAATCGAGAACAATCTGTAAGTTCGAACAAAATTATAAATGATTTCAAATCTTTCAAATTTATTCTCTAACTACGTTTGAACGTAATCATAAAAACTGAAAACTCAAATGAAATTAGCTGAATTGCAATTAAATTGCAATTAATATGCACGTAATAAATAACTTTATTATTCGATAGCAACTTTGATATAAACTTTATTAAGTCTTAATATTTTGCAGTGCATTGTGCAGTGTTTTTTCAACGAATTGAACGTTGTAAGTATGATTATTATAATTCAATTCGATACTTCATTTAATAACCTTTTATATATAAAGTGTATTTAAACAAAAATAGTACGTACATAATTTATTATTAAAATTTCTCATTCATTATTTGGAAAAATAGTTCTATTTACATCTTTTTCATTGAAACATTTTCTTTCTAAACATATGACGAATAATAATAGGTAGATCAAAAGGGATTTCCAAGACGTGACTCTGTGATTCCATTAATGAGTCAAAATATTCAAGATCCAGAATTAAGAGATTTTGTTGAAGAATCAACTATTGAATGCTTTCGTTATCTCGAATCAAATAAAAGAGACAAGTGCGAATTCTCGCAGAATCTTTTGAAGTGTTTAGCTGAGAAGGGACGTGAAGTAAGTGTTTAATAAAATTTATATTCTTTAATAAATAATGGAACTTCAATTCCATTGAAATTATTCTCTAATTTTGTTTCACTTGCTTGCTATTATTTTACCATGGTAGTAATTAAGAAACTAACAAATGTGTTGAAATAAAAATTATTCTATTTTCAGAAATGTGAAGACTGGGAAAATTGAAGAAGTTTCATCGAATATGTTAGAAAGCAGAAAATAGTATAGAAATAATGTATATAAAATTAATAAAGGTAGTGAACATTTAAGTATAATTAATAAAACATATAAAGCAGCGAATCCTTTTGAAAAGATGTAAATGTTCTATTATAATACCTTCAGAACCAATGCTTGAGGATTTCTATATTGCACAGTTTCCATTAATTGTATTGTACAAAGTATGAAATGATAATATTGTGAAATAAAACAAGTGATTAATACTTTATAATGACATTATAAATTGCGTTAAAAATCAGTGTTTACAAAAACATTACTTATACTACATTACATACTATAATGCTTTCAACACCATACAAATTGGAAGTGTAATTGCACATAGTTTAAATGACGTTACAAAGAGAATTTTTACAACATTTACAAGTAATGTTTTCGATTATAATCATCATTACTGCAAAAATATTGAAATTCTTAAATGTTGCCTTGTATGGTAACATTTTTGTCACAATTCAATGAACATTAAAAATAATTTCTATAACAAATAAATTATCACATAAACAACATTTTTGTGATTATTTAGTAGTAATATTATATATTATTTTCAAAATAGCCTATTGTATCAGCAATGCAAATAACACCATTGCAGCGGATAAATATTGCTTCGCACCGTACTCGAAACGTTAAAAAGAAGGTCAAGGCAGAAACTATTCAACAGTAACATTTTTTTCGTAATATTTCTCATTTTTATATTTTTTTACGTTTTGTTAAATTTTAAACATTCAAAAATGATCACAGCTTATGCTTTTCTATAGCACTGATGATAACAATTCGAGATGAATGCGTTTATAAATTTTTGTATATTCTTGCATTATTGCAGGTATATAACATTTTATCAGAATTTTTGAATCTACCATTGCAAAATATTTGATACGAATCATTGCTAGTACTATCGTTGGGTTACTTAAATTCCAAAATTTTAATCGAATGAATAAACTATATTATTTTCAATTTTTACAGTTATACCCACTATGCTGTATTATAATATACATATATCGTGATATATTACTATAAATATAAAAGACTATTTCCTTTTTTTCAAATCTTCAAAACGTTTCATTAAATCATCAAAATCAATGTCTTCGCTAGAAGACGGATCATTGGGGGGTAAATCATTTTGTGTTGGTACAGCTGGTAAATCTGGGAGCTGAAAGTCATTCATTGGCATTTTTGATCTCGGCTGTGGTTTTGGTTTCTGATCGGACTGTAATAAAAAATCATAGATTACTATTGCAATTTATATCTACATATATAACGATTTTCAATATTCTCATTATTGCATCACCTGCTTATTTAAATCAGGTGGAAATGATGGAGCATATGGTGGAGGTAAATCATTCTCCTAAATAAAAAATGTTATCATTAACAGATTATGAATAAAATGAGAACTTGGTAAAACATCGACAATTTTAATTATTTTCAGAGAGTATTAGAGATACTCACAGGTTTGTTACCATTGGAATTGTCTAATGGAATGTTGTAAGAAACAGTAGGATTGTAAGAAACATTTTGATCTTTACTTTCTAAGGGTCCTACTGGAGGTACAAATCCTATAGGCCCTTTCTCTGCATTCTGAAAATTAAAATAAATTAATGTAAAATTCATTTTATTTGATGTATAATAATAATTCCCACTTACTATGAAATTAGCTGCTGGATTTGGTAACAGTGGAGGTTGTGGAAACCCAATGAATCCCGCTGGTTGTGGTATACCACCTCCCGAAGCTATATCTAAGTTATTTCTTGTTTCTCCATTACCACCAACATCTATCAACAAAGCGTCTTGTCCCTCAGCCATTACCTATGATGTTAAAATTATATGCATTGATTATTGCCTTGATACTAATCTATGTAATGTTACCATATACTATATTTATTAATGCTCCTTGGTATTAATGCTTACCTGAGGATCTGGCTCGTATTCGATATTATAATTCTTCGCAATTTCTACAAGATATTTTTCAACGAGTAACTTAGATGGTGACTGCACGCTCATTTTATGTTTTAACTTCTCGGAAATAGTTTGCACTGCCTCTTCTCTGCAAGCATCCGTATATTGTCTGCCGTACTTAGCTATCAAAATATCAGAAATCACTTTAATTTCTTGAACATCAGTTTGGATTCTTGGTGCAGCCCAGATTATCGTAGAAATAGCTTCTGCCAATCCTTCGTCCAAATTTCTGTAATTTGGAGAGTACAAATAACGTAGTACGATGCATTAAATGCAATTAATATTTACTAACAAAAATAACATTACACTTACTTCATCTGTTGAATAAGTCCAAAACGTGCCAACAGAAGATCACAATACATTTCAAGCAGCTCCATAGCCTCGACCATGTAATCTTCTCTAATAATGTGTTCGACGCGTATTTTTGCTCTCTCGATTTTTCCCGTAGCAATGTAATCGGCGATTTCTTTCCGTGCTTTCTGAGCGAGCTCAGTTTTTTTCTTCTCGAGTAATTTGAGCCGATTTATCGCTAGACGCAAATGCGTCTTCAATTTTGTATAATTCGGTCCGCTTGAGAACATTTTTGTTCGATTCTTCTTATCACAAGTGCGAGGAATTAACACGATTTCTCATACTCTTACGTGGGAGATAGGTAGAGGTTATTTCGGAGAGTGACAGAAAGTGACAGCTCAGTCCAAATACAATTCAATAATCAGTTTTAATGTGTGTAATATGTATGATTTCCCAACGTCGTGGAGTTTGGATAAGGAATTTGACGAGTATACTATAGAAAATACGAATTGTAGAGTACACAATACAAATCAGATGATAATTAATATCAAAAAATAAATTTATAAATGAAGAACAAGTGTCTGTGCATTAGACATCATATTTCTACGAAACTTCAGTCACGGTTAAGTTAAATTGCTATACGTGCATGAATACATGCAAACGAACTGAACCTGATGTACTCAGGTTAGGTTAACAGTTTACTTCGTATCGCGTCTGCGCAAATGGAGGATTACAAACTGTATGGCGCGCATTTCAAAAGTGTAATATGTATTATCTATACATTGACTTACATATAAACCTGTAGAGTGGTTCTTTTTTGTTTGTTTACTCTTTGAATTTTCTTGGAGTTGATTTGTCATGAACTAAATGAATCACATAAATGTAAAATGAAACTATTATGATATAAAATTATCGTAACTGAATATATCGTGTATTACACAAATTTAATAGAAAATAATTTGTTTGTATTTTGATAATCCACTTGAATTTAAATGGATATTAATGTTATTCAAATGTAGATACAAGATGAAACGAATTTCGGAGTATTGAATGATTTTGAGCTGGAGAATTTCATGTTACCTGAAGAAGAAGAAGAACAACAGTTCCTCTTAGTTTCCCATGTATCCACACCTCCAAATCCTTTTACATTCATAAACTGTCAAGTTTGAATCTCTATAGTCTTAAAATTACTTTATAATTGCTTGTTTATTTCTACAATTAACATTTGTACAATTAACCTGCAGAAGTAATTGCACAGAGGCTTGAACCAATACAAGTAACAGTTCTTGAATTGCAACCTCTTAAGAAACTATGTTAAGTAATAACGTATTACGAAACGCGATTGGAAATGTTGCAATTCATACAGTGGTAAGTTTTTATAATGAGTATATGTAAAAGATATTAATTGAAATCACTGGATTGCTTAACGAATGATCTCAGTAGGCCGTATACTCATCTACTCATCATATCACAATTAATATTGAACATTCAGTAAATTTAAGTCCAAGTATAATAAATGCACCAAACCACAAAAGAATTGGAAACACAATTAAATAGAAGAAAACTGAATAGTACATCAGGGTCCACTTCTAGGTCAGCATTTGCTCTTTTGAAGTTTTGTACAACCTATAATATAAGTATTTAGAGCATTTCTAAACGTATTTCGCACAGCGTAGTATTAGTTTTGCTCTTGGTAGAAAATAAGAGATAAGTTTTATTTTTTGTTATAGTTATAGGGCATCTTTAACAAAAACAGTAATATGAATATCTCTTACTAATAAAACATGTTTTTGTTAAGTTGTCTTTATATTAAATTATATTTTTTGTAATATTATGGTAGGTAATTACAATTGTTATTAATATTACTTAAGAAGTATGCGCTTTCTAAATTTACGTTATACATCTAAGTTTATATTATACAGCATCGTTGCAATTTCGAATTGATTCTGAGATTGTCTAAATTAAATACATGAAATGCCCATTTTAGATTAAAAATACGGTAATTACGTGGTAGCCAATTTAAAAAGGAATTGATTAACAACATATTGATGAATCTCAATGCGTGTACAGCAGATATTAATATAATTATTATTCTATGCAACTTTTAGAAATCTACGTTTTCAATATTTTTGCAGGTATCGAATAACACATAAAAGCTTTATTATTTAAGCTTTCTTTCCAATATTTTCTGTTTTCAATTTATTTAAATTGTAATTTTCACAAATAGATATAAAATTTGATTTTTTTTTGCAACAAATATTGCTTCTTTACATATATTACTTTACTTTTATAAAATTCTATAACATAAGATCGTCACGTTTAGGTTTACAGTTTTTTCTCCCAAACAATAGTACAAGTTACTTATAGTGCAATTTTAATAATACTTTTATATTACACAAAAACCTGAACATTTTTAAGTAACAGAAATACTCAAGCTAAGCATATTAAAAATATATTTTATTTACCAATATGATTCAAGTCTTTGCAGAATGTTTTAATAGATTTATAGTTAACATATACATTGCAAAGTATGCAAATATGCATGTCAGCCATGGTTGCTTAGACTTTAATTACTTCAGTGAAACAATTTTCGACAGCTTTCTTGTCTTAATAAGCTGGTGCTGTTTTTAGTGGACAAGCATTAAATATCTTTCTCGTTATACATATACCTGTGCTATGAGCGACTTTTATCCATGTATTATTATTCACGAAGTCTTGCTAATCGCTGGGTAAGTTCATCCTGTTCTTGGCTGACAGTAGCTGTGCCTATACTACCTAATTGTTCAGATGGTAATTCCATATTCAATTCCAATCTGTAACAAATTATATAATGTATATTGTATGTGATTATTAAATTTATATTATATTAAATAATTATTTTGCTTTCTACAAGGTTTTGAGAAAGAATACTCACCCAGCTTCATCTGCAACTTGTTGTAATAATGAATCGACATCATTCTGTGGAACATTAGTAGTTGTTGTTTGAGACATTGCATTTTCCATGTATGAACTTTGGACGTCTAGATCTTCAAATTGACTTTCAAACTTATCCATTAGACCTATGATTAATTTTGTACAGAATAATTAACATCATTCTTTGTGATATATTATACATATATCAAATTCATAATATAGTCACAAATATTTATCAATCTTAAATTTAAATAATAATATAGTAAATCTAAAGAGAAATCTATAAACATCTATGTATATTATTTCATATTAAGTAATATATTGTATATTTGAGATTGACATATTCACCTGAAATTTTTTCTAAATTCATTGATTTCATTGCAGCATCCATTGCTTTCACTACACCAGCCATTGACTGAGTGACTTTACGTGTAGTCAAAGCAGTTTGTACTCTGCTAGCTACTGCATCAACTCTTGCACTCATACGTAAATAATTTAATGCTTGATTCTTTTGACGAATTGCATTTTCTGCATGAATACGGGCACCTTCCATATTACCTTTTTGAATGGCCTTTTTTATTTTGGCCTTCTCAACTTTTTCTTCTTTCTCACACTTTTTTGAGTTTCGCTCCAACTCCTTTACTGCAAACTTGAGATTAAATAAATTTTCTAATCGATAATTTAGGAAAATACATTACTCCTTCTAATTCGCTTAATTTATTGTTGGATTTCAATTGCTTAGTTGTAAATGTTAATTATATTTATATATAACTGTATACATATAACAGCTTTATATACTTTCTTATTTTTGTAGATTTTATAAAGAAAACTTAGATTGCTAAGGTCATAAAATGTTTCGTACAATTTAAAGACTCAAAACTATCGTAAATAGAATTTTTTAAACTCGAAACATGTTTATTCTTAGAATAGGAACTTCAAATTCTAACCTCACAAAATCTAACCTGACCTTTCTTAAAAGGATGCAAACTGTCAAATTTTATTGAAATAACGCGAAATTTGTTTATACAACGTACATAATTTGTGTTTATACAAATAATTCATGTTATCTAACAAAGAAAACATTGGTTTTAATTAAAACCATAATGAAATAAATAATGCTAAATTTGTGAAATATTTTGATAAGGATACTTTCCATCTGAGAGACGGACATGGCTGATTGTTCGGCACCCGTTGTGACAAAATTTACAAAATAAACGTCTGGACCAATAAAGCGAATCTTCTCCTGAAGAAGATCTGGTAAGTATCAAAATCACGATTTGATAGATTTCACTGTCATTCAACTAAGTGAATTGACATGGCAATCGTCAACATCAACAGGTATTACACAATTACACTTGATTATACTAAGTACTACACACTTCGTACAAGGCAGTATTAGTGTATTAGTTACTATTATTACCATTTATTACAAATCTTCTTCAAGTGAATGAAGTGAACATAAGTGACAATTCAATTTCCATTCAGTAGATGGAAAGATTGAAAATGCTTTTTAATATAAAAACTGCCATACCGGCTCAACTTTACTTCGGGCCACTAAAAATGATTGATTTTTTTTAATACCGTTTAGTAGCTTTTGATGCCTAAATCATAAAAATGGATGTTGTAATGTTAAGAAACAACTGTTTAAAAATTATGCGTATGTAAAGTTGAGCACTTTTGACGTATTTAGTAACATTTACCGATGCTCTGGTAAATTAGGTAGGGAATATTATTCTTCCGATCACTTGTGATTAGAAAATTCGGATCGCAATAATAAAAGGCTAAATAAATAAATAATGTAACTAATAGGAATAATCCCCGTAACATGTTTTTAAACCTTTAATTATTATTTTTATATTTTCTTCGAATTTTAATAGAATCGTCTAGATATCGATACCATTTCGTTACAAGCGCCACTGGTGTAGTGTTTTTAATAACTCCCATGATAGTTACATTATTTTTCACGATAGCAATATTTATTTTACAACATATTATCCTGATGCTTACTTCGTTACTTTCAATAATATTGTGAATTTTGTTCGCGTATTTCTTATAAAATGTAAGGTTATGTAACCATACGTTACTTTTATTCGATGAAGTTTGCCTTGTGAATATTTATTGTTTAAGGTTTTATGTAGAAACATCATGCCTCTAAGATGGATATTCCGAATGTTTCGACCGAAAAATGTTGAAGAAGCTGCATTGTTTAAACTACGTTTTTCAATGCTATATGCTTTTATAGGATGGAACTTTGGTGCTATTGCTTTGTACACGATTTACCGGGAACACATACCTGCAGATAAAGATGCGCAAAGTATTTATAATGAACTCAACCTATTTTGTGTTTATTAATTGTTACAATTTCAACATTGTATTATATAAAACGAAAATATTTTCAGGGGCGGCATTGTTAGAAAGATTATCTAGAAAAAGAGATATACGCTACATACGGGTAGACAAAACGTCTGTGGTAGAAGACAGAATTATCCCAAAATCTGGAGACACTTCCAGATTGACAACATTAGAAACGAAAGAAGATGTGTGAACAATATATAGCATAATGATAGTTTAGTATTTAAAATTTAAGCTAGTTTATTGATTAATACATATTAAAATAGATTAAAAAAAAATTAAATTCCACTAAGCTCATACTATTCACAAATACAGTTATGAGAATATCTTGGTCAAATTCATTCAGGAACTCTTCTCAATGTGTAAAAGGTAAGGCAATTTAAACTGTTCTTCTCGATTTAATCAAATTTTACTCAAGGAAGAGACTGTCGTAAAGCGATTGCTCCTGACAAGGAGTTCGAAGTTTCTGGATTCAATTCCTTTAACCTTTGTTCCATTTCGCATAATAAGGCTGACCTAAACGAACATGATATTAGAGCGATGCGCATTAACAAAAAAATCATCCCAACAGAACGTAACAAACCTGTACTCTTCGTAGCGCATGACTACTTCCTCCAATTCTTGTTTGTACAATCTTGTAAGCATGGCATTGAAACAATCGAGTTCGGGTAGACGAAAGAGCTCCCACCGTAATTTACGATCTAACGCTACCGATGCTCTACTATATACATACAACCAGTGAGGTATTTCTTCGTTCAGATACGGATTAGCAGGGACTAAGACACTATGGGAGTGAAAGTGCGTGTGACGCGGGGGTGCTACAACGCGTACTGCTTGGATTTCATGGGGATAACACGGATGCTCATACTGAGCTTGTCGCGTGATATGGCTGAAAACAATTGATAACGTTTCTTAAACATGATAATTCAAATCTCAACTTTAGTCATACTCACTTAACATAATAAACACCATATTCTGGGGATTCTATTCTTTCCCAACCTGTGGGTAAACCCTCCTTTTCGAGAGGATGAGACCAATGAGTGGTCTTTGTATTATGATCTATGTAATACTTCCTACCCCTAAGAGTAAAATCAACGGACCATCCAGGGGGTAAAGGAAGTTCTTCTTGTTGTTCGTTTCTAGAACTCGATCTTTCCGAGTGGCATCGACTGTATCTTAAAAATAAGATAAACAAAACGTATGTAATTCGATGCTTTTAGGCAAGCCAAGGGTAGTAGTAATTTTATACCCTGTATTTTGACGATAAACGGAATGATTATATTCTTCATAACCAGAATCAATGTCGAAAGGTTTATAAGGCATTTGCGGCGTTTGAACCCTATCTAAATGGTACTCGGATCCAGCGTACTGATTAACATAAGTATGAGATATAGCAGGCGAAAGTCTGGAATGATACATCGGAGTCGCCGTACGAGATGGCAATCCATCTCTTGTACTAGTATTAACTGAAAGACTGGCAAATCTGGAGAAATAAATTTTAAAAGATTCTTTGGGTTTTATGGATAGTAGTGAAAACATTTTTAAATACATCGATGGATTACCTCTGGGCTAAGTCTGGCACAGAACTATTCGGAGTATACTTTCCCTCGTGACTTCCCAAACCTACAGCGCTCATTGTTGTTTTAGCGTTGCCAAATTTCTGTACCATGCTAGGTTGTTGTGGGATAGACTACGTAAAAATAAAGGTTTATTGGCCTACAATCATTTAATGAACACGATTACTAATTACCATTGATGTTGAAATAGTTTGATGATTATTACGATTTCTTGTTCTTCTATTCGGTTCTGTGGTCCATACATTGATAACTATAAATGAATCATACTTTGAGGAAGGGAATCGAATTAAACAGAAACACTGTTACCAGTTTACATGATACGATGCAAGTAAAATAAGTGAAAAGACAAAAATAACGTACTTGGCATTTCAGGTGGAGTTTCCTTTTTAACGTATTTCCCAACTACACCCTCTTTGATTGTCCTTAGATCTTTGTTCTTTCGCGACAACATGATGATAAATATCCGAGTAGAACGTCAAATCAATGGATCGTCGATATTTGGAACTTATAACCTATATTGATAGGATGTTATAATCACGTCAGTTCGACCATATTTCGTACACGTTAATTAATATAGAAGGACAATTACGTTGTCGTTAACATGCTTCAGAAATTCATTTCACGCACGTGCCGAAATTATCGAGTATTTTCAATTTATATGCTGCGTTTGACGTAAGTTCTCATCTTTTCCTTCATGTTGGAAATATTTATAAAGAGCAAGTACCAACGATGAGTAACCGACAGCGTATTAGATATGTATGTTAATAATTTAAAAAAATAAAACTCTCCAAGATTTAAGATTCTCGAGAATATTTAAATTCTGCAGGGTGTTTGAAAGACCAATCATACGTTTTTTATTTACCTCATCAATGAATTGTTCATTGATTATGTTATATTCAATTACGAATCATAACCTATCTCAATGATTGCTATATATTATGAAATGAAATAGATTATGTAAATACATGTATTAACTTGTTTACAGGACGATATACCATGTATGTATATCAACAATATATGTGAATGTCACACGTAAATAGGGTATCATTGCATTCTTTTGGTTTTAAGAGTTCATTTTTAACTATTATACAAAACAAGGCTTTGTTCATGCAAAAGTAAAACGTTTAAATAGTTATTTTCAAATTTTAATAACAAAGGCCTTCTAATATTATTTTTGTAAAGCAAACTAGCTAATTTCTTTTTTTTTTTTTTAACTCTTATAATAATCTTTCTAAAACAACTTTTAACTAAGTTTGTATATCTTTGGGCCACAGCTATATAAATGTATACAAATAAATAAGTAATAATCTTAATCGATTACTGCACTTAAATTTATTATATATGGATAGCTAACTATTCTTATGCTTAATATGACAAGGATAAATTAATCAACTTTCGTTTATGTTACTCTTTTTACATTCTAAAATCAACTGTACAACTGTTGGTTTCCTAACAGTGATTAATACGAGTATCTGAAGTATATATATCTATTAAATCTATATATACAATGAAATCATACCATCACTATAATTCGGACTAATCGTAAATAAGTTGAGGTTTGCTTGATTCGTAATTTGCGTAAAGAAAAAATGAAACCGATGGAATAATCGCTAAACGGTTGGTTTTTAACGATAAATACATACGATAGACTATCACAGTGTAGCTCGCGTTTGTATCCATAGGATTTCTCTATTGTTCCAATTCTTTTGATTATATTCCATTTCCCGCAAATTATGGAAGTACTTGTTTGTAAACATGTTGTCATCTATTCGGTTATTAATGATGTCGTACAAATGCAGTTTGTCACGATATAAAAAAATACTAATATATATCATTAGAATTCCTTATTATGTTAGACTTGAAACTGCGCTAAAAGCTAAGTTAGCCCAAAACGTAATAATTATTAAAATGCTCTATCTGTGTGAGAATGGGAGGGAGGGATATATTTGCGAACTTAAAATAAAATAGGCCATAACGAACAGCTGACGAACCCGATGGTGTCCATGGTGTTTGAATAAGTATCGCGTTTAAAAAAGAATTGAAGAGAGTAGAAATAAATGAGACGTTCGTTTAATAAAGTGTCTATTTATGCGTATAGAACTCTTATGATTTTACCTATGTTGTTCTTCTCGCGTCACATTACAGCATTTACAATAATTATATACTTTTAATTTATTTTTGAACTAATCTTTTCATGAAGTGGAGATAAACAGTGTGTAATGTAAACAAAGTGTACTATGAGATATGAGGTAAAACATATTCGATGCGAAAACAAAAGATGGAAAAATAATATTTAACAAATATGTTAGATGTCTCTCGATTACTTCATGAAAATATGAGCAAGCAGTCACTCATTTTGTTAACCATCTATTTTATTAAGAGCTACTATTGTTTATTATTATTATTAATATTAATATTATTATGCAATGGTAAGAAACTTTAAAAACGATCCCCACGTCTTTGCGGTGGCCTGTTGGAGCACAGCTCCGAATAAATCTTATGCATTGTATCTCTATTATTTATTATATTTATAAGCAATGGATATTTTGGTACAATTAATTTTTTTTTATTGTATACTTGCCCCTCGCTTGTTTTGTTTTTTTTTATTATTTTTATTTAAAAAACAACATATATTTTTTTACGTTTTTGTTTCAGAGAATCGAACCTTATTATTCAATATTATTTCGTCGATATACTTGCAGCATATCGGTTACGGGTCTCTCCCTCTTTGAAAAAATTTATTCCATTTGTTGCGGCCATGCAGTCGGCATAATGTTAATATTTATAGCACAGCGGTTCTGTACGTTACACGTGTTTACCACAGTTTAGTGTAATCGTGTATATGTGAATGTGTGACTCGTCGTATCATCAATATTATCATATTTTTATAATATAATGTATTATTATATATATATATATATTTATATATATATATTTTTACCTAATTTTATTATGTTTTGTTATAGTTATCATTATCAATAATACGAATATATGATACATTTCAAACAACGCCCCCGCTGGCTCCGTCGAAGGCGAGAATCAGTGTAAGGAGGGTCAGTCATTAGAAGACATTAGCCGTGTAATAACCGAAGCGAATGTCACATGCAAAACTCAATGTTATAAGGATACATTTCGTCTACTTGTAATTTACACTTTGATCATCTCCTCCTACCGAGCACAGCTGAACTCTTTTTTTTTTTTTAAGAAGGGGCTAACATCCTCGTACTATGTGCTGACACTGAGTACATTATACAACTTAAATCATTGCTATCAAAGAAAAAAGGAAAAAAGAAAATTGGAAATTAATGTACACAATAAAAATATTAGAACTCATCAATCATCGTCAAGAAGAAAATTGTGATTACTGCTTCCTTCGTTCGTGTGTTTTTTTCTTCTTCTCCTTTTCACCTCGACAGGCATAACTAACGAAAGGAGTTACATTACGCCAAAGAATGTCATTGTGAGACACTTTCCTTCACTAACAACAGTAATTTTTGCATGTAGTGTATGGACAATCGACGTAAACTAAGAACTAATGATCGGGCAGCGTGGTAATGTACTTCCACCTGCAATTAAAAGCGGTTATGGTTTCTGTAGAATGCGTAATAAATACATTACGATTTTATTATATTTAACCCTGGGAACACAGGGATTAATCATTACCAAAATAAGTAATGACCAAAACTATCTTCAACGATGGTCACTCACCAGCTCAAGGGCGGGCACGTGTCGCAGGTGCAGTAGTGACAGGAACTGAAGTGTTGGATGAAGCTGTCAGAGCATTACGTCGTTCTACTTCCAATTCATTCAGTTTCTTCCACAGTTCTTCCCTTTCCTTTTCTCTCTTCTTTTCTCTAACATGATCAAATATTTCTATAGATAACATAGATACTATCGATGCGTTTCTAGTATAATTTTTAGATATAAAAAATTCTGACTTCGTGTTAATTTCTCTTTGAACCTTAAATGTTACTTACTTTTGCCTTTCAGACTTATAGCTGGCAGTAAGTTCATCGAAGAGCTTGCTATTCATTTCCATAAATGTTTTAAGAACGTTATAAACAAGCGCTATGATCGTCTGATTCCAGTGTTCCTTGCTAATTCTATACAATGCCGGGAACATGATTCCCATTATTACATGATTGTTTTCTTCGATTAGAGACATTATGTACTCGTTATTCCAAAAGTACAATGCTCTCTCAGCTATCTGTAATCGAGAATGTTGCAACATTAAAACGATTATCGTACGAGGAATAATTATTTTACAAAAGCGATTTGCTTATGTAATATTAGATTTCTAATTCAAGTACCTGAAAGTGTGGCGAAGATACACAACGTGCGATCTGCCTGAACAAGGGTTCTTGTATTTTAACAAATTGGCTAGGTTCTATAACGTCCAAAATTTCTTCAATTTCACCAAGGAACATTACCTCCTTCTGGCTACATGTTTTAGGCCAGAATTTAAGGAGGCCTCGTATAACTGGTTCCGTTAGAGTTGCATCTTTTTCAAGAAACTGTACCACACAATAAGCTAACTGCGCGTGGTATAATGATACGCACTTCACCTTATGCAATGGTAGCAGCACCTGTGGACCAACAAGTGATAAATCACAGATTGAAATATATCTTACGAATTATACGTTTATATGAAAAATATTTACCTTAACCAAAAATTGCTTGTGCTCGATTTTTAAAGGAAGGGCAAATCCATTGATAATGCTACCCAGAATTTCCAGAAGTTCGCCGACTCCATTGAAATGCTCAGTTTCATATACAAACCTGCAATAGTAGCAAACAGTTTTAGCTAAAGACTCGTTTTTTTATATACCCATCATTATAAAACATAAATACCTCAAAAAAATGTTGTTTATTTGTTTGCGTATGAAGGCTCTAAGGCCAAGGAACTTCCCATAAATACGATGCAAAACAGTTTTCAGCAAATCTCTTTCCCTAGGGTCTTCTGAATCAAACAATTCCAGTAACTACGAAAATAATGAATAATTAATTATAGTCAATGCCATATAGAAAATTGTAATGCTATATATCAAGACTATAATTTGTACCTGTAAAACAAATTTTTGGTCAATGACTTTTTTGCCAACCGTAGGTTGGAAATCTGAAGATTCAAGGAAACGTAGAAAGAATTCATAAACTAGCTGAAGGTGGGGCCAGCTCAACTCCAGTGTTGGATCATCCTCCTCTGGATCGAAATCAGGATTTTCGCTTGGTGGCAATGTGCGAAACAGATTTGCAGAAATCTTTAACAAACGTATTATTGTATTGAAAATATTTGATTGCACAGTTACAAGACCAAACATTATTTTTCCAATACCTACCATTTTAATGATTTCTGGGTAGACAGGCTCGGTAAGAACGCCTCGTCCAGTAGTGATGTATTCAACCAGTTCATTGAGCGTACTACGTTTAACTTCTTTGCCCTTAAGATCAGCCATCGGATCCAAAAAGTCAAAGGTCACGCAGCATTGTCGAAGCTTTCTAATGAACAAATCTTCTTGTTCCGACGGCGTGGCATCTGTAACATATAGGTAATTTTGTGTTAATTCAATGTAATTCATTTCACATTAATGCAAAACATACAAGCATTTCTTTTAACAAAAAATTCAGTAGTCGCATATTTATCATTATCATTAACAATTAATTGTGAGGATGGGCAAGTGGGACACGAGGAAAAACGCAATTAACTAGGTACATAAAGAGTTTTATTAAACAGGACGACATCCTCAGGGTCAAATTCCGAATATTTGAGCTAGATAGAAATCAAGGCACCAATATCTAGACTTTCTACCAAACGATTATTAAATAGATTAGATAGATACAACAGATATTACTCAATTGCATCTTTCCCTTTTATTTTCACCGGGTGTATATAAATTTAGTTTCGTTTTTATGTACTCAGGAGCTATATGCATCATCATTTATTATTTAATTTCATCGTCTTATTTGCTAAATAAAATTAGAACAGGTACATTTGCTCGATACATAATTCGATCTTAGCATGCGTGCATACGAACATAATTATCGTGTCTTAACGAATTATGTACCGACAAAATATATCGAACATCCTATTAGAGGTTATGTTCGGTGAGGTTATAATTCAAACAGCACGTGCGCGCCATTAAGTGTCTATACAGTCGATCAATGGCAGCACTGTACTTAACCGAGTACATTTCTTTCAGAAATGTGCACGAGTTTTAGCAACATGTTTTTGGTATCGTAAAACATTACAAATACCGTAATTTCTCTTTCTACCTTGTAAAAAAGGAACGTTTCAAGTTTATACAAATTTAAGTTCGTACATTTTAAACTTGAGGAGATATTCTACCCTGTAATGTGTTCCTTGAGAAGATAGAAAAGCTACGTGACTAGGAAAGGGTCGACAGTGGTGGTCTATCCACCGAATAGATAAGATCTTAAAAAAATAGGATGCCATGATAAGCGACGAAATGTATGTTATTAAATAAAGAGAAATAAAATAATTTAGGTAAGCTTGTAGTAAGAGAAATCGTATTGGCACGCGAGAGAAATGGTATTGAACGTTTCACGCTTGCCAAACAGCTATCATAAAAGGTTGGAAAAATCGTTCGTCGAAAGCCGACGAGGCGACATCTCCACGCGGCATTTTATCGAGAATTCTTAACGAGAAAATAGCTGCCGCGGTATAAATTACGCGGGCTCTATTAACGCGTTTACATCGGTTTGAACATTTTCCCAGTGGATGGAGTTTTTTTTTAATTCGTGGTGAACGAACGGAGAGAGGAGGAATGGAGGGAGATCGGGAGAGAGAAATAACAGAATAGAACCACCTTTTTCATTTTTACTTCCTTTTTCAACCTGCGAGAGTCCACATTACGATTCCTCAATTTTTATCTCCTTTCGATTGTGATGTATCGATTTCTGTGGCGGTGTGAACTTCGAAATTGTATCGCCATTTGTACCCTATGAAGCCTTTGATAGAAATGCACAGAAAACGAATGATTATTTGTGGAATGAAGGGAGACTTTGGGATGCTAAAGGAGGTAGCCTTTCTCCATACATATTTTTATTAAATATTCCTGATTCTACAGGGTTGAGTATCGAACCAAACAAGCCCTGCAATTTTTTCAGAACAGAACATCGAGTACTTGGATAATTTACATGAGAGATAAAAATGTAACTGGTGCAAAAAAAAAAAATAGAAAAACTATTGGTACGTTCGCAAGCCATCTCACGGATGAAATGCATAACATGACGCCTGCAGCGTATAAACGGTTAAGATCGTTTAAATTCAATCTTTCAATTCCACACAATGTCTCCACCTCGCGCGTTTGCGTCTATACAAGATGTTAGATTAAGACAAACACTCGAAAACACGGCAGTTGCGAAACAATGGAAAACGAACGTGAAACCCTAGGCTTCGAATAAATCTGAAGTTTGCCGATATGTTTGTCTCGTTTCCTTCTTTGGAAAATGTTTAACAGAAGAAACGAGACAAACATATAAGTAAACTTCAGATTTATTCGAAGCCTAGGGTTTTCCCTATGAAGACTGTATAAGGAGATCCAACTCCCTAAGAAAGTTACTAGAAAACTTTTAGCAAAATCCCGAACTTGAAGTTATGAATATTTTGTCCACTCGCGGCACAAATGCGCACAGCTACGATATATATATCTATTCTCTATAAAAGAAAGAAAATTATTCTAGGTTTCTTATTGGGTTATTTTTTGTAACTAGTTACTTCTGATGCATGTAAGAGCCCCATCCAGCGCCTCTTATACAGGATTCAGAGAGATATCTAATTGCAGTGACTGACTGTCCACGAAATATTAACTCGTCGATTTTTAGTCGCAATCACGTCCGAGTACCGTTAAAGTGGCCAATAAAACGATCGATGGAAGACTCTTGACATACATACTAATAACGTGTGCCCCGTGCTTGTGAATATTAACCTAAATACGACGATACTGTAAACCACTCTAAAGAACGTACTATACAGGGTGTTCCAAAAATGTTGTAACACCTTGAAAGAGGTGGTTCGCGAGGTGATTTGAAACAACTTTTTTCTTAGCGAAAATGTTGTCCGAGGCTTCGTTGAGGAGATATTAACGGAAAACATTGACCAATCAGAGGGCTAGGCGGCCGCGCTCCCCGACCAATCAGAGCGCGCGTATGCCAATGGAGCGCCCGCGGTCGTAAGCTATTCGATTAGCGGTCGCGTTCCACCGGCATCCTCGCACTCTGATTGGTCAGTGTTTTCCCGTAATATCTCATCAACGAAGCCTCGGATAACATTTTCGCTAAAGAAAAAGTTGTTTCAAATCACCTCCCGAACCATCCCTTTCAAGGAGTTACAGCATTTTTGGGCCACCCTGTATAACCAAATTACATATTGATAAAACAATAGAAACATTGCCAGACTTCATATAATTTGCCTAAATTTTTTAATTAATAGATATGCTAACTGGGATATGCTTTAATTTTCTCGAAACAAGAGAACATGGATTTACACCACTTTCAAAATAAACGGTCCAATTATCTAAAATAATTTCTCAATCATATCTGTGTCTTCAGTAGTTCAAGCAGCATCATTCTACACTAATTCAGAGAGAGTTCTCCTCTTGCACGTATCAGAATTGAAAAACTGCAACGATAGGAAGTATCAATAACCAACAGTATCCACGATCAAAGATTTTTATGAGGTTGACGTACGATACCGTGAAGCATGCTACCTCTCCGTTTCCGCGAGAGTTCAGTATTTTACCGAGTGAGTGAAATAGATAGAGCGAGGGAGGAAGAGGGGTGAGGCTTGGCGTAATTCGATAAATTCATTGAGGCCACGGCGCAGCCTCATAGAAAGCAAAGTTACTTCGGAACACGATAGTCCATTCCACGAGGATAATTATTTATGCGCCGGCGATGTATCGATAAAGTGAAACCAATTTAATCGATGATCCTAGCATTCCATTTCGAAGCTCCGATCGCCGGCGTCAGCTGTGCGATGAACTTTAAAAAAAAAGTTCGCAATCTGTTAATTGCGACAGAGTTTACGTCGGTGGATCGACGTCGAGCGAAATCGAAAATAAATGAAGCGACGTAAACCTGATGGCGGATGAAAATAAGCGAGATCGTCCGAGTTGTTCTCGCGGATCCATGAGAACAACGATAGCCGACTGCGGACTCGTTGACCGACCTGAAAATAAACCAAACAGATCGTTCGACGAACCCCCTTGAATTTTTTACCACCGTTATGTCGGGAATGAGATTCCTATCGCGAAAGCGGAGGGAGACGAGCGAAACTTTAACGTCCAGATCGTGGTATGGTTCGATTGGTGGCCGAACTGTGAACCTTCTGACCCTTCCTACGTCTCC